CCTATGGGGGTTCCCTTGTATATAGCAAGATGTTTTCCTCTTGCTGCTTTTGAGATTCTCTCCTATTTAATTTTGATATTTTAATTGTAATGTGTCTTGGTGCAGGTCTCTTTGGTTTCATCTTTTTTTGGTTTCCTGGATCTTAATGTCTGTTTCCTTATCCAGGTTAGAAAAATTTTCAGCCGTTAGTTCTTCAAATACGTTTCCCACTTCTTTCTCTCTCTCCTTCTTGGACCCCTACAATGTGAATATTAGTCCCCCTGATGTTGTCCCATAGATCCCTTAAGCTATCTTCACCTTTTTTTTCATTTTTTCTTTTTGTTACACTATTTGGGTCCGTTCCTCTGCCATCTTTAAGTTCATTGGTCCTTTCTTCTGCTTCATCTAGTCTCCTGTTGAATCCTTCCAGTGTATTTAGTTCAGTTATTGTATTTTCAGTTCTGTGACTTCTTTTTTGGAACTTTCTTATATTTTCTATCTTTTTGCTGAAGTTCTCACTGTGTTCATACATTCTTTTCTTGAGTTCAGTGAACATCTTTTTTTTTTTTTTTTTAACGTTTATTTATTATTTTTGGGACAGAGAGAGACAGAGCATGAACGGGGGAGGGGCAGAGAGAGAGGGAGACACAGAATCGGAAACAGGCTCCAGGCTCTGAGCCATCAGCCCAGAGCCCGACGCGGGGCTCAAACTCACGGACCGCGAGATCGTGACCTGGCTGAAGTCGGACGCTTAACCGACTGCGCCACCCAGGCGCCCCAGTGAACATCTTTATAACCATTACTGTGAACTCCTTGTCAGGTAAATTACTTATTTCCATTTCACTAAGTTTGTTTTCTGAGGTTTTATCTACCTTTTGGAACATATTTTTCTTTTTTTTTTTTTTTTGTTCGACTATGTTGGTTTCTATGCATTAGATGAAACAGTCACCTCTCCTAGTCTTGAAGGATTGGCCTCGTATAGAGATGAAACATTGTTCAACCCTGCCCTAGCTCTTGGTTGTCTCTCAAACTTTTGAGATTTAAAAAAATTTTTTTTAATGTTTATTTATTTTTGAGAGACAGAGAGAGAGAGTGGGGGAAGGGCAGAGAGGGAGGGAGACACAGAATCCTAAGCAGGTTCCAGGCTCTGAGCTGTCAGCATAGAGCCCGATGCGGGGCTTGAATTCACAAACCGTGAGATCATGACCTGAGCCAAAGTCAGACACTTAATGGACTGAGCCACCCAGGCACCCCAAACCTTTGTGATTTTTGAAGCCACCTATTTTATTTTTAATAGGTCCCAGTAGTTGAGGGGGTGCCAAGGCTAGTCAGTGTCCCAAAGGAGAGCGTGTCAGTCAGCATCCAGATTCAGGCTTATTGGAAGCTAGGCTGTTGGGCAGCAGCTTTTAAAGAATGTCCATGTATGCAGGCCTGTGGGACCATAAGCATATAAGCCCCATGGGCCCCCCGAACCAAGCAATCTGAAGGCATCCCCTGGTCAGCAGTTACAAAAATCAGGGCTCCAAACAAGTGTACGAGCTCCTTTCTGGGAGAGACTAATGACTTGTAGTGAGGGAGTAGGGAATCACAAAGATGGCGTCCCATGGCCTATGTGCCCTAAGAACACCTCCAAAGTCTCTAGATGCGTGCCCAACCTGAAGCCTGCCCCTACAGCCAAAGCTCCAGGACTAGCAACTAGTCTTCCTTCACAGAAAGACTGGGTGTCTGGTTCAGTCTGCTGTCTGTGCTGTGTCCTAGAGGTGGAAGTCTGCCAAGAACCGTCTTTCTGGTTGTTACAATCCCCTGGGACCCAGGAATGCAAATCCCCTGCCCACCAGAGCTCAGCAATCCGGGGGTATCCCATGAGCAGCAGTCAGAAAAACCAGGGCACAAGTAATAAAAATTGGGGTGCCAGACATGTGTACGAGCTTCCCTCCAAGAGACGCTCGAGCTCTGGAGCACAGCAGAGGGAGAATGCAAAGATGATGCTCACATCTCTGAAGTCTCGGGAAATATTTATAGTCATCCCTTAGAGGTGTGCTTAATTTGAAGCCTGCCCTTCGTGCTACAACAATGATGAGCTAATAGGCCTCTTTTATGGAAAGATTGAGCTCCTGGGTCTGTGGCCTCTTGCTGGGCCCTGGGTGTGGTAGCTGTTTAAGAACTCTTGATTGGTTCCATTCCTGTGGGACATGAAGCAAGTATAAGCTCCACTGTTCACCAGAGCCAGGCCCTGGAGAAATGTCCCCTGGCAGCAGCCACAAAAATCAAGGCACTAGACAGGGTATAAACTCCTTTCTAGATGATATCAGCAAGCTGGCATGAGGCAGAGGGAGAGGGCAAAGTTTGTGTTCCACTGGCCTCTGTTTCCTGAGGGCACCTCCATAGGCTACTGTAAGTATGCAAACCAGAAGCCTGCCCCTCAGGTCACAGTTCTTGTGACCTATTTGCTTAAATAGGCCTCTTGCTAAGAAAGACTGGGAGTGTTTCTATCTACAATTCGTGCAGTGTGCTGGGAATGATAGTCTGCCAGGAACTCTCACTCCAATTGCTGCAGCCCCATGGGACCCAAGAATGCAAGACCCCTGGGCCACCAGGACCAGGCAATCAATGGCCATTCTCCGGGTGGTAGCCACAACAACTGGGGTACCAAATGTAAAACTGGAGCACCAGATGTAGAAGCTCCCCTCCGGGAGATACTGGGGCTCTGTAAGTGCAGCAAGAGGGAGAGCGTAAAGAGGGTGCTCACTGGCTGGAGCAAAGCGTAGGGGGAGTGAGAAGACAGCACCTGCTAAAGGAAAGGAAGAAAAGGAAAGAAAAGGGGAAAAGGAAAAGAATTACAGAGGGAGGAAGAAGAAAAATGAAAACAGGGAAAGAAAGAAGGGAAAAGTGATGGTGCTCGCCAGCTTTAGCAAGGCAGAGGGAGATCATGCAAAATGGTGCCCGCTGGCTGGAGCATAAAGACGGCACCCATGGGAAAGGGGAAGACAAGTGGCAGTGACAAGCTTTAGCAAGGCAGAAGGAGAGGAAGAAGGTGGAACCCACCAGCTTCCAACCCTGGACAATATCTCAGCAGGCCCCTTCCCCCCCCAGATCAATGCTTTAAAATTAGGAAATGTGTCCCACTCGCATACAGTCTGGCTGTTTTTCAAAGGGTTGCTTCTGCCTTGGGCCCTGGGGTGAGTGAGTCTGTGCAATGGCCCTTTAAGAGCTGCTTCTCAGATCACCATGGCCAACTAGGTCTGGTGGCAATGAGCCAGACGTTTTAGGGGTCATCTCTCAGACACCAGCCTTAGAAGCTGGGATGAGGGCATCCGGATGGCTCAGTCGGTAAGTGTCTGACTCTTGATTTCTGCTCAGGTCATGAGCTCATGAACCATGAGATCAAGCCCCGCATCCGTGCTTTGCTGAGCATGGAGTCTGCGTGGGATTTTCTCGCTCCCACTCTCTCTGCTCCTTCCCCACTCAGGCCTGATGTGCAGCACAAACACTTCAACCCTCCGGCAGAAGCTCTGGGTTGAGTTCCCTCCTGACTGTGGGTCACTGTACCAGGGATGGGGCTTCTGGTCTACCACTTCGATATGGTTTCCCTCTTCTTTGGCCCCATGCAAAGGAGTTACTCCACCAGTTTTTAGATTTCTTTTCAGAGGAGATTGTTCCACACTTAGCTGTGGATTCCTTGTGTCTGTGGGAGGTGGTCAGTTCAGGATCTTCTCATTTTGCCATCTTCAACAAGAAACTCACTTTAAACTTTTAAGTGATATTTCTCCTTCCATGGAGGTTTGACTGACTTTTCTGCTTGTAGACATTAGTTCATGTTGTCAACAGTTGGGCATTGAATCTCAGAAAACATTAAGCTTGAGATTAAAAATTAGGGCAGGGAAAGCTGTTTAGTAAAACATGCTAACCTAACATATCTGAACAGGACACGATCAAGTTCATACTCAAAACCAGGAGGGTGCTGTGAAGTACAATGATTTCATACTTGTGTTGTGAGGTCATTTTGTTGTAACATTAAAGCCAAGAGCCCTCCCCACCCAAGGGCAATGCCAATTTCCCAGAAGGCTCATTTCTCAGAGCCAAAGCTCCAGAAGATGCCAAAGCAACCCATGCTGATACTTAGTCTCATGTTATTTCTCAATTTTATGCTTAATTTGCTCCTTTTGGTTTTATGTATTTTGACAGAGCCAAGTGTATGTGGGGATTTCCCCACAGTCCTTTAAATGCTATAAAACTTTAATATAGGAAGATAAAAACAATAATAAGCCATGCCTCCAAGCCCTCACATTTAGTTCTTCATTTGAGTTAGACACTAACCAGTTGTAGGTACTGATACAGATTTTCAAGTACTCACACTGCTTTAAATGCCCTGTGCGTTTCCTTGCCCTCTTCCCTCTACCCGAATGAAAATTATATTCTGCCCATAAGCTGGGCATGCAACACCCAATGATTGCACAAAATGGCATCTTTACAATTCTTTTTTTTTTTTAAGGGAGAAAAAAAAAAAAAAAGAAAAGAGAGCATGAGCAGGGGAGGGACAGAGAGAGGGAGAGAATCCCAAGCAGACTCCACACTGTCAGCACAGAGCCCAGTGCAGGGTTCGAACTCAGGAACCGTGAGATCATGACCTGAGTCGAAATCCAGAGTCAGATGTTTAACCGACTGAGCCACCCAGGGGCCCCCTCACCTTTACAATTATTCTCATAATGGCCAGTGTCCTCTGTGAGCGGATGCAATTTTTATAAAACTTTTCAGTGTATATGTTTGAGAGGGAGAGACAGAGACAGAGCATGAGTGGGGGAGGGGCAAAGTGAGAGAAAGACAGAAAGACCCCGAAGCAGGCCCCAGGCTCTGGGCTGTCAGCACAGAGCCCAATGCAAGGGTCGAACTCATGAGATCTCTTGAGCGGTGAGATCCTGACGTGGGCTGAAGTCAGACGCTTAACTGACTGAGCCACCTAGGTGCTCAGAGCCAATGCAATTTAATATGGTTTTAATATGGTTCAGAATAAAGCCAAGATGGCTGCCCAACTCCCAACTTTAGGCATGCAACCCTGAAATGTCTTTTTGGAAAAAATGAAATCATGCTCCTGGAAATCTGTGGAGTTAGGCTGTTTTCAGCATAATTGCCTTCTCTCAGCTTCCTAATACCCTTAAAACCTCTGAGAGACTTTAAGTGTACAAAGTTCAACAAAAATACCTTCAAAGTAGATTAGTTCTAATTATGTCTAATATTTGTTTGCCGCTTTATTGAATAAACTACATTTGTTTAAAAAAGAAAAGAAATTCACTTAACTGCATGTCAGTCACCCAAATTTTAAGTGTACAAATGAAATGGAAAACATTTATTACACAAATTTAATTACAATTCTAAGAAATAAACATGCAAATTAGATAGAGTTCAATTTGCAGATGCTAATCGTCGTCCTTGATCTTACTCCTTCCCTCTCTGATTTTCAGTCTGTGCCTCTCCTTGATTCCTAGGGAGCCAGGCAGCAAGAGGTTTGGTTTTTCACAGTCGGAGGATCACTGTTTTAAAGAAGTGTTATATTTAGCACATCTGGCATAGTAGCAGTAAACAAACATTATAGTCTTTGTAACACTTTTGTGCAGGTGCCTTCCCCCGGATTTTATTAGGTCTATGCCTTCCAAGCCTCTGTGTTCATTACACCTGAAATGACCCATCTCGACTATGGAGGAGTCCCTAGACAGAAGTTATGAATTAATGTTTCAAAAAACAAACTCCAATTGAGACTAATACAGGGGAAAATTACTATTTGCAGAATAATGTGATTCCGGGGCTTAAATTACATTCCCTTGACCAAGGACAACGTCCTTTATTACTTTTTTATTTCCTGGAGGTATTCCCTCGAGGCTCCCCACCCAGAAAGAGTTGCCAATTCAAGTTGCAGTAGGACCCATGTTGCTTTTTTATACATATGCAGCTCCGGAGGGGAACGGGCGGGGGCGGGCGGCGAGGGGAGAATAACTGCTTGGTCCTGCAAAGACATCTGTTTCTCATCTCCGTTTGCCGTGGCAAAGGAGAAGAAAGTCTTTTCAAAGGGTGGGAAAGGCACAGATTTTTTTTTTTTTTTTTAAATCACACGCACACACAACAACAACAGAACCAAACCAAATTAAAAAAAAAAGAGAAGACATCTCAGAAGGTTGCAGAGTGAATACGTTATCCGGCTGGAGCCGGGCCCCCAGGGCTAGGGCGGGAGCCGGGGAGCGCGTGGGGTCTGGGCTGCGGGCTGGAGCTGGGCCCGCGTGTCCCCGGGCACCGGGAGGGGAGGGGAGAGAGGGGAGGAGAGGGAGGAGGGAGGGCGGGAAGGAGGGAAGGAGGCAGGGGGCGGGCTGGGGTGGGGGTGAGGGGAAGGCGCCCCGTGTGCTGCCTGAGGAGCGGCGGCGGCGGCGGCGGCGGGAGCAGAGGGAGGGCGGGAGAGCGGGCGCGCTTGTCATGTTCCCTCTCTCACCCTGGGGGCATCCTGCAGAACCTCTCCTCGGAAATCCACGGGGAAATGGCAAACAGGATTGACGGGTTTCACACGCTCCTCGCTAGACAGAGCCGCTCATTACCATAACCGTCTGCAGCGACGGCGGCGCGGCGCCCCAGTCGCGGCGGCGGGACCTGCCGGGACCCTCGCCCGCCGCGCACCAGCGTCCACCGTCGACCGGGCCGCCGGGCCG